GAGCGCCGATTAAAATATTTTTCTTCATTTGCGGTTTAAGCAAAAGACCGAGAGATCCTCTATATACGGCAAATCTGAAATGATGGATTATCTAAAATACTGTCCAATTGTCTCCCCTTAATTTTGGTAGTTTTTTGTTTGTATGGAAATGGCTTTGTCTTGTCTTCCGGAAATAGAGAATCATGGCAAATGGTTTTTTTCCCAAAGGATCTCCAGTCCAGCAAGTGTTACAATGAGTGAATTGTGAATCGTGTAATGTTCTTCACCTGGATAGGACAGCCTTTCTCAACCTTTTTAAATCCCAAGGAACCCTTACTGAAACCAATTTTTTTTTTATGTTTTTATTCGTTGAAAGTCATAGTGAAAAAACGACCATTATACGTTGGTGGTCATGTTTAAGAATGATCCTTATATTAATAGTCATTGGGATGAATGCCCTTTACTTTGGTGGTCAGTGGGAAGAATGCTCCTTACATTGGGGATCAGTGGGAAGAATGCCCCTTACATTGGGGGATCAGTGGGAAGAATGTCCCTTACATTGGTGGTCAGTGGGAAGAATGTCCGCTTACATTGGTGGTCAGTGGGAAGAATGTCCCTTACATTGGTGGTCAGAGTGGGAAGAATGTTCCCTTACATTGGTGGTCAGTGGGAAGAATGTCCCTTACATTGGGGTCAGTGGGAAGAATGTCCCTTACATTGGTGGTCAGTGGGAAGAATGCCCCTTACATTGGTGGTCAGTGGGGAAGAATGTTCCTTACATTGGGGGTCAGTGGAAGAATGTCCCTTACATTGGGGTCGTGGGAAGAATGTCCCCTTACATTGGGGGTCATGGGAAGAATGTCCCTTACATTGGGGTCAGTGGGAAGAATGTCCCTTACATTGGAGGTCAGTGGGAAGAATTGGTCCCTTACATTGGTAATCAGTAGGGAAGAATGTCCCTTACATCGGTGGTCATGGGAAGAATGTCCCTTACATTGGCGGTCAGTGGGAAAGAAAGTTCCTTACATATTGGAGGTCAGTGGGAAGAATGTTCCCTTACATTGGAGTCAGTGGGAAGAATGTCCCTTACATTGGCGGTCAGTGGGAAGAATGTTCCTTACATTGGTGTAAGTGGGAAGAATTCTCCCTACATTGGGGGTCAGTGGAAAGAATGCTCCTTACATTGAATGGTCAGTGGGAAGAATGTCCCTTCACATTGTGGGTCAGTGGGAAGAATGTGGTCCCTTACAATTGGTGGTCAGTGGAAGAATGTCCCTTACATTGGGGTCATAAGTGGGAAGAATTGTCCCTTACATTAGGGGTCAGTGGGAAGATTGTCCCTTACATTGGGGGTCAGTGGGAAGAATGTCCCTTACATTGGGGGTCAGTGGGAAGAATGTCCCTTTGCATTGGGGGATCAGTGGGAAGAATGTTCCTTACATTGGGGGTCAGTGGGAAGAATGTCCCTTACAATTGGGGTGTCAGTGGGAAAGAATGATCCCTTACATTGGGGATCAGTGGGAAGAATGTCCCTTACATTGGGGGTCAGAGAGAAGAATGTCTCTTACATTGGGGATCAGTGGAAAGAATGTCCCTTACATTGGTGGTCAGTGGGAAAGAAATGTCCCTTACATTGGGGGTCAGTGAGAAGAATGTCCCTTACATTGTGGTCAGTGGGAAAGAATGTCCCTTACATTGTGGTCAGTGGGAAGAGAATGTCCCCTTACAATTGGGGGTCAGTGGGAAGAAATGTCCCTTACATTGGTGGTCAGTGGGAAGAAATGTCCCTTACATTGGTGGTCAGTGGGAAGAAATGTCCCTTACATTGGTGGTCACAGTGGGAAGAATGTCCCTTACATTTTGGTGATCAAGTGGGAAGAATATCCCTTAACGTTGGTGATCAGTGGGAAGAATGCCCCTTACATTGGGGATCAGTGGGAAGAATGTCCCTTACATTGGTGGTCAGTGGGAAGAATGTCCCTTACATTGGTGGTCAGAAGGGGAAAATGTCCCTTACATTGGTGATCAGTGGGAAGAATGTCCCTTACATTGGTGATCAGTGGGAAGAATGTCCCTTACATTGGAGGTCAGTGGGAAGAATGTCCCTTACATTGGTGGTCAGTGGGAAGAATGTCCCTTACGTTGGGGGTCAGTGGGAAGAATGTCCCTTACTTTGGTGGTCAGTGGGAAGAATGTCCCTTACATTGGTGATCAGTGGGAAGAATGTCCCTTACATTGGTGATCAGTGGGAAGAATGTCCCTTACATTGGACGTCAGTGGGAAGAATGTCCCTTACATTGGGGGTCAGTGGGAAAGAATGTCCCTTACATTGGAGGTCAGTGGGCAAGAATTGTCCCTTACATTGGGGGTCAGTGGGAAGAATGTCCCTTACATTGGCGGCGGTCAGTGGGAAGAATGTTCCTTACATTGGAGGTCAGTGGGAAGAATGTCCTTACATTTGAGGTCAGTGGGAAAGAATGTCCCTTACATTTGGCGGTCAGTGGGAAGAATGTTCCTTACATTGGTGGTAAGTGGGAAGAATTCTCCCCCCCTACATTGGGGTCAGTGGAAAGAATGCTCCTTACATTGATGGTCAGTGGGAAGAATGTCCCTTACATTGTGGGTCAGTGGGAAGAATGTCCCTTACATTGGTGGTCAGTGGGAAGAAAGAATGTCCCTTACATTGGGGGTCAGTGGGAAGATTGTCCCCTTACATTGGGGTCAGTGGGAAGATTGTCCCTTACATTGGGGTCAGTGGGAAGAATGTCCCTTACATTGGGGTGTCAGTGGGAAGAATGTCCCTTGCATTGGGGATCAGTGGGAAGAAAAATGTTCCCTTACATTGGGGGTCAGTGGGAAGAATGTCCCTTACATTGGGGGGATCAGTGGGAAGAATGTCCCTTACATTGGGGATCAGTGGGAAGAATGTCCCTTACATTGGGGGGTCAGAGAGAAGAATGTCTCTTACATTGGGGATCAGTGGAAAGAATGTCCCTTACATTGGTGGTCAGTGGGAAGAATGTCCCTTACATTGGGGTCAGTGAGAAGAATGTCCCTTACATTGGGTGGTCAGTGGGAAGAATGTCCCCTTACATTGGTGGTCAGTGGGAAGAATGTCCCTTACATTGGGGGTCAGTGGGAAGAATGTCCCTTACATTGGTGGTCAGTGGGAAGAATGTCCCTTACATTGGTGGTCAGTGGGAAGAATGTCCCTTACATTGGTGGTCAGTGGGAAGAATGTCCCTTACATTGGTGATCAGTGGGAAGAATATCCCTTACGTTGGTGATCAGTGGGAAGAATGTCCCTTACGTTGGGGGTCAGTGGGAAGAATGTCCCTTACATTGGTGATCAGTGGAAGAATGTCCCTTACTTTGGTGGTCAGTGGGAAGAATGTCCCTTACATTGGTGATCAGTGGGAAGAATGTCCCTTACATTGGTGATCAGTGGGAAGAATGTCCCTTACATTGGAGGTCAGTGGGAAGAATGTCCCTTACATTGGTGGTCAGTGGGAAGAATGTCCCTTACGTTGGGGAAAGTCAGTGGGAAGAATGTCCCTTACTTTGGTGGTCAGTGGGAAGAATGTCCCTTACATTGGTGATCAGTGGGAAGAATGTCCCTTACATTGGTGATCAGTGGGAAGAATGTCCCTTACATTGGACGTCAGTGGGAAGAATGTCCCTTACATTGGGGGTCAGTGGGAAGAATGTCCCTTACATTGGAGGTCAGTGGGAAGAATGTCCCTTACATTGGGGGTCAGTGGGAAGAATGTCCCTTACATTGGGGGTCAGTGGGAAGAATGTCCCTTACATTGGTGGTCAGTGGGAAGAGAATGTCCTTTACATTGGTGGTCAGTGGGAAGAATGCCCCTTACATTGGTGGTCAGTGGGAAGAATGCCCCTTACATTGGTGGTCAATGGGAAAAAAATGCAATCCTTACAGTGCTGGTCAGAAAGCATCCTCTTTGGACAGCTAAATGAATCATTGGTTTCATGCAACAGTCAAATAAAGGTCGATCAGCCACAGCTCCAGGAACCCCTAGCAGTGTCTGAAGGAACCTTGGTTGAGAATGGCTGGCATAGGATATCCTTAGAAACTGTCCACCACTTGGGTAGTGCAGCTTTTGGGAAAGCAGAAACTGAACACGTGGTATCCGGTGAAGGTGGAGGAGCGCCAAGCTGCACAGCTCTGGAGACAAGTTATTCCAATCGTGTATTTGTATTTTTTGTATAATTCTGTATGTTTAGATTCACAGAGCAATAGGCAATGTTCAGTGTTCCCAAATGAGGGAAGAGGTAGGTCAGTAAGCATTCGGAATCAATGACCGGCAACATTGCTACAACTCATACGTGGTGTGCAGACGGGGGAAGGACAAGTGCACTCCTGTGACCTAGAGGACAAGGATGACACAAAACACGTTGGCCATACTCCTGTTTTAACATTTTTTTTTTTTTATGCCTTCACGGCCCAGTTATAACACAGTTACAAGGGTGGCAATAAAAAAAAAATATATTTTTTTTTTACTCGTCACTGAAGTCCTATGCAGATGGAAGGACACCTTTTGACCGTCACCATAAAGAACCAGCATAAATATCCTGAAACAACATCGTAAAGAATGCCTGCAATCACTGTTTGCAGGCATCGTTTCACATAGAAGCTGCTGCAGCTGCCCCTGCAATGACGGGCGGGGGGGGGGGGGGGGGGGCGGTCCTCTTGTTCTGGGAGGACATCATATGACATTCTCCCACTCTAACTGCGCATGCGCGCTCCCGGGGGGGGGGGGGGGGGAAGGTGCAGCAATTGGTGGTGTGCTGTGTCCCTGGGACACAGCGGATCACCAATCAGAGGAAAGAGCCGATGATGTTGGCTCTGTCATGTGATCAGCTGTGTCCAATCACAGTTGATCGCATGTAAAGAAGGAAATGCTGGTAATCGTCAATTCTCTCCTAACACTGACAGCGTGTGAGCCGGTAAGTGGCATTCCTCAGAGGGGACATGTACACCGATCATTAGGGTACTGATGATCAGTGTAGCTCCAACAGTGCCACCTGCCAGTGCCCATCAGTGCCACCTGCCAGTGCCTACCAGTGCACATCAATGCCACATATCAGTGCCCATCTGAGAGCTGCCTTTCAGTGCCAGTCAGTGCCACCTATCAGTGCCGCCCATCAGTGCCATATATATGAGTGCTGCCTTTCAGTGCCCATCAATGCCACCTGCCAGTGCCCATCAGTACCACATAGTGCCTACCAGTGAACATCAATGCCACATATCAGTGCCCATCTAAGCTGCCTTTCAGTGCCAGTCAGTGCCACCTATCAGTGCCGCCAATCAGTGCCACCTATTAGTGCCAGTCAGTGTTGCCTATCAGTGCCCATCAGTGCCACCTAACAGTTCCAGTCAGTGCCACCTATCAGTGCTGCCAATCAGTGTCACCTATTAGTGCCAGTCAGTGCTGCCTATCAGTGCCAGTCAGTGCCGCCTATCAGTGCCCGTCAGTGCCGCCTAACAGTTCCAATCAGTGCCACCTATCCGGACCGCCTAACAGTGCCATATATGAGTGCTGCCTTTCAGTGACCATCAGTGATGCCTGACAATGGCCCACAGTGCCACCTACCAGTGCCTCCTCATCAGTGCCCATCAGTGCCGCCTATCAGTGCCTATCAGTGCAGCCCATCAGTGCCCATCACTGCAACCTCATTAGCGCACATCAGTGAAGGAGAAGAATTACTTCTTTACAAAATTTTATAACAGAAACTAAGAAAAAACTTTTTTTTTCAAAAGTTTCAGTTTAGCAAAAAAAAAATGAAAACCTTGGTGATTAAATGCCACCAAAAGAAAGTTCTGTCTGTCTGAAACAACAACATGGTAAAGAATGCCGGCAATCACTGTCTGCAGGCACCATTATATATAGGAAAACCAGCTGTAAAAAAAAAAACGACAAACCAGAAGCCCCTCTAGCCTGTGAAGTGACTCGGGGGTCCCAAACAAACAAAAATGCTTCATTTGTATATTTTATGTAAAGTATGACCGCTGTTGAAAGTTCAGATTTGCAACAATATGTTTTCTTTTCCAGGTCTGGCTTCCATCAGTCTTCTGCAGCCTTCTGGATGCACCACATGGACAGGAATGTCTGAGGAAGGATATCGGCGGTTTTGCTAAACTACAATTTAAATGCATCGCTCGCTGCTCTTTGGACTTGTGCCAGTCAGCTCTGTTGATCACATTTCGACTGCTTGTCAAGAGTCTGCAGTAAATTCCGGCTCTCCCCTGCTAGGATGCCGGGACGTGTGGTGACTGACTGATGGGAAGACACCTGTGGAAGTTTCTTTTTGTGGATCGGGAATGGATCACCGTGAAGATGCTTGGACAAACACCTGGGGGGGGGGGGGGTTATCGTCTATCCATTGACCTGTCGGTTGACTTGCAAATCCCATGGCAGAAGCAGATTCTGGTAGCGGGATACAAGTTTTGGTATCTTGCAGAGCAGGAGGGGTTGGTCTTTGGTAACAGAGGTTTTCAACATGAGTGGTAGTAGGAAAGGGTTTAAGTGATTTTAAACCTGTTTTTAAAGCACTTTCGGCAGCTGATTTAATCCCTTTGTGTAGTGCTCCTCAAACTATGGCCTGGAGGCTGGACGTGGCCCTTTGTAAACCTTTATCTAGCCCTTGGGGCACTATTCTTTCAACTGACATCAACAATGGGGCACCATTTCTCCAACTGACACCAACAATGAGGCACCATTTTTCCAACTGACACCAACAATGGGGCACCATTTCTCCAACTGACGCCAACAATGGGGCACCATTTCTCCAACTGACGCCAACAATGGGGCACCATTTCTCCAACTGACACCAACAATGGAGCACCAGGTAGGGGGTCTCCAAACTTTCTAAACAAAGGGGCCAGCTTATTGTCCTTCAGACTTTAAGAGGGCCGGACTGTGGCCAGTGGGAGTGGAAATTTTCCTGGCATCAGTAAACATCGCCACATAGACACCACATGGTATCATTGGGAGCAATAGTGCCCCATTGTTGGCGTCAGTTGGAGAAATGGTGCCCCATTGTTGGCGTCAGTTGGAGAAATGGTGCCCCATTGTTGGCGTCAGTTGGAGAAATGGTACCCAATTGTTGGCGTCAGTTGGAGAAATGGTACCCAATTGTTGGTGTCAGTTGGAGAAATGGTACCCAATTGTTGGTGTCAGTTGGAGAAATTGTGCCCCATTGTTGGTGTCAGTTGGAGAAATTGTCCCCCATTGTTGGCGTCAGTTGGAGAAATAATACCCCATTGTTGGCGTCAGTTGGAAAAATGGTGCCCCATTGTTGGCGTCAGTTGGAGAAATGGTACCCAATTGTTGGTGTCAGTTGGTGAAATGGTGCCCCATTGTTGGCGCCAGTTGGAGAAATGGTGCCCCATTGTTGGCATCAGTTGGAAAAATGGTACCCCATTGTTGGCGTCAGTTGGAGAATTAGTGCCCCATTGCTGGCGTCAGTTGGAGAAATGGTGCCCCATTGTTGGCATCAGTTGGAGAAATGGTGCCCCATTGTTGGCATCAGTTGGAGAAATGGTGCCCCATTGTTGGCGTCAGTTGGAGAAATGGTGCCCCATTGTTGGTGGAATACCAAAGTTACAAACACCCTGGTGGGAGAGCGCCGCTAGGGGAAGAACTCGCAGTTCAATGCAGTCAGATGTAGAGGAAGAGAGGTGCAGACAGTGTCTGTTTCAGAAGGTGAAGGGCAGCTGGCTGAGTGAGAAGCTCTTTCCAAGATAGCGAGTCCGTAATCTAGCCCTCCTCATCAGGAACCTTTCCCTACTGCTAGTTACTTTCCATAACAAGCGGGGTCTCTCTCCTTGCACTAGCCACCAGCATGAAGTGAGCCAAAACCCAGGGGCCAGGGACTTAAATAGACCTGCTGACCCAAGATGTCCATCGTGGGTCACATGAGCGTAGGGCAGCCAACTGGAATGCTGTTCAATTGACCCAGGAAACCATAGAGAAACGTTGTTTCTCCTGCACTTTCTTTCCAGGCTGAGGTGCCACTCAGTTGAGCGCCATCTGCAGTGGAGATAACAAACAGCACCTGCCTACACGCTGCATATTCACTAAGGTAGGGGGTCTCCAAACTTTCTAAACAAAGGGGCCAGTTTATTGTCCTTCAGACTTTAAGAGGGCCGGATTGTGGCCAGTGGGAGTGGAAATTTTCCTGGCATCAGTAAACATCGCCACATAGGCACAACATGGTATCATTGGGAGGAATAGTGCCCTATTGTTGGCCTATTGTTGGCGTCAGTTGGAGAGTTGGAGTTGGAGAAATGGTGCCCCATTGTTGGCGTCAGTTGGAGAAATGGTGCCCCATTGTTGGCGTCAGTTGGAGAAATGGTGCCCCATTGTTGGCAACAGTTGGAGAAATGGTGCCCCATTGTTGGCATCAGTTGGAGAAATGGTGCCCCATTTAATTTAAATAAATAAAAAGAAATGTACATACACTCCCCGGCCACTTTACTAGGTTCACCTGTTCAATGGCTTGGTAACACAAATTGCTAATCAACCAATCACATGTCAGCAACTTAATGCAGTTAGGCAGTTAGGCATCTAGACGTGGTGAAGACGACTTGCTGAAGTTCAAACCAAGCATCAGAATAGGGAAGAAAGGGGATTTAAGTGACTTTGAATGTGGCATGGTTGTTAGTGCCAGACGGGCTGGTATGAGTATTTAAAAAAGTGCTGATCTCCTGGGATTTTCACGCACAACCATCTCTAGGGTTTACAGAGAATGGTCACAAAAAGAGAAAATATCCAGTGAGGGGCAGTTGTGTGGAGGAAAATGCCTTGTTGATGTCAGAGGTCACAAGAGAATGGGCAGACTGGTTCCAGATGATAGAAAGGCAACAATAACTTACGCCAATACGGACCAAAATCTCTGAGGAATGTTTCCAACACCTTGTTGAATCTATGCCACGAAGAATGAAGTCAGTTCTGAAGGTAAAGGAGGTCCAACCCGATACTAGCAAGGTGGACCTAATAAAGTGGGCGGTGAGTGTACATAAATAAGTGCGATTGTGGTAGCTCAGTCCACAGAGGTAAAGAGAGAAGAAAGAGACATGAACATGAGTTAGAGGAGGTACTGGGGGAGGAAATGAAAATAAGTTAAAATTAGTGGCTCCTGGGGGAGGAGTTGAGGAGTCAGAGAGTAAATATTCAATAGAGAAGATGGGACTTTCAAGGGTGCATGGACATGAATACAAAACATATTAAAAAGTTATATCATTTTTATTTCGTATTTTTGTGAACAACGCAAAAGGAAAAAAATACAGAAACATAAAAACATTTTCAGTACCAAGAATAAAACTGAGATTCAAACTTGGTTATGTAATTGTAGTTACTCCCTACATGTTTCGCCCTCATAGGCTTCTTCAGGGAGATTTTTTGGAAGAAAATTCTACCACCGAGGCAGTCTAGATATATATTTTCTTAAAAAAAAAATCTCTCCTGAAGAAGCCCGTGAGGGCGAAACATGTAGGGAGTAACTACAATTACATAACCAAGTTTTAATCTCAGTTTTACTCTTAGTACTGAAATTGTTTTTATGTTTCTGTATTTTTTACCTTTTGTGTTTTTTTACAAAAATGCAAAATAAAAATTATATAAACTTTTTAGTATGTTCTGTATTCATGTTCATGCACCCTGAAAGTTCCATCTTCTCTATTGAATATTTGCAACTTTAAGGGATGTGGTGCAACAACCTGAGTCAGAGAGTACAGTAGTTGTTTGTATCTTTCTGTGAAAGAAAAATCTCAAAACTAAAACCTTGTGGTACGAAACTTTGAATGTATCCCTTTAATAGAAGTTGTTAGATCTTCAATTTGTTAAAAAGCTTTCATTTGTAACGGCCTCTAGTGTAGATAGTTTTTTGTTTGTGTATAGTTAGCTTGCTAGAAGCCTGGGTGTGAGTCAGCAAAGTTACTTTAGGTTAGGGATGGAGGGCTTTACAGGTCAGTCCTCTGGTACCTCCCCCTGCTCTAGAAACTATGAGAAGTTTCTAGAAGCCAGTAGGCGGAGGTGAGGAGGGACTAATCTACATATTTATGGCCTTTCATTTGCAAAGGCCTCTAGTGTAGATAGGTTTTTTTTTTTGTGTATAGTTAGTAGCTTGTGAGAAGCCTGGGTGTGAGTCAGCAAAGTTACTTTAGGTTAGGGCTGGAGGGCTTTACAGGTCAGTCCACTGGTACCTCCCCCTGCTCTAGAAAATATGAGAAGTTTCTGGAAGCCAGCAGGCGGAGGTGAGGAGTGGCTAATCTGCATATTTATGGGAGTCTGACCAATCCCAGGCAGGAGGTCAGGCAGTGTGGGAGATCAGCCCATAAATATAA